AAGAGTGAAAGCACCCGCGGGGTGACCGTGGGCAAATTCTCGCATCTCGCTTCTGTGAAATGAGACACTGATCTTCATCTTAACTGGGAGCGAAGGCGCCGCAGGCAAGGCTTCGAGGGCCGTAGTCGCGAGCTTACCTGTCCTCCAGAACTGACTCCATGGGCTCCACTCCGTCCGTATCCACGGCGCGAAGCCGGTCGGCGAAGGCGATGGCTTTCTCCAGCCGTGCCACGGCCTCTTGGCTGCCGAAGTCCACAAGCGCTAGCCGCTCCAGGTGCTCGATCAGCTCGGCCGTGACCCGGCGGCTTCCCTGGGGGAGGATGAGGCGGAGGGCTTGGGTCACAGGTGGGGCCTGCTCCGCCTCCCGCCCCGCTTCGGCACCCGCCCAGACGCCCCGGCCTCTACCTGAGGATCGGCCTTGGAGGAGAAGCCCCGGCGCCCGCCCGCCGACGCTCGAAGGCCCAGCCACACTGCCCGCGTCCACATTTCTCTCCTTCTCGGCCCCCGTAGTGCGTCCTCTCGTAAAGCCTAGCGACGCGCTTAAAAGTGATGACATCCGAGAGCGCCGCCACCGCCGACGCCATGAACAGTGTAGGGGAGGCTTGCACCGACATGAAGCGTGAGTACGACCAGTGCTTCAATCGCTGGTTTGCCGAGAAATTCCTCAAGGGGGACTGCTCCGGGGACCCGTGCACCGACCTCTTCAAGCGCTACCAGCAGTGTGTTCAGGTGAGCTGAGGCCCGGGTCCTCTCGCCTCTACCCCAGGCACCGGCTTCTCTCTACGGTGTCCCTGGCCTCACGCATCGTATCTTGAGGGCGTTGGGACTGGCAGGGTGAAGAAAAGCCTCGATGAGACCAGTGACAGTAGTTCTGTCCCCTCCGTCACCAAGGCTGCCTGGTATCTCTCCGAATGACAAAGTTAAATATTTTTGCAGCACTTTACTTTTTACGGAGCCCAGTAACATTCTTTGGTTCATTTGGTGCTCAACCTGAACTTGCAAAGTGGGTATAGTTATTCGTATTTTATGCATGGAACACTCACGCCCAGAAACAGGAAGTGATTAGTCGAAGTTCACTAGAATCAAGTTTCCTTGGATTTTGCGGTGGTGCACTTTTCCAATATTGCTGAGGGACAAGAAGGGGTGTAAGCCTCTCTGGCCTGTTAGACATTATGGAGGATCTCCTTTTGTTATATTCCCTTCATTGGCCTATTTTATTCTCTCTTGACTAGCTAGGACATCTTCATTCCAGCCCAGTGAATGTGAAACTGATCTGAATCGTAATAACAGCCCTGGGCAAGGCACTCCCAATTAGTTAACTTAAAAAACATCCTCAGTAATTCCAGGTGGAGCTGCTGTCTTTACCCAATATAGATAGGAAAGTTAGGCTTGATCAAAGTTACATAGCCAGTAAGTCCTGGGACTGATTTGAACTTGTGTTTGTCACAATAGAGTGGTGATATTGTTTAAATTCCACTTCTGAATTTTGATGTTAACTCTTTCCAATCTCTGGTTTTACAGTTAATTTCTTTGTAATCTTACTTATGTTAAAAAGCATGGGGTTTGAATCATGTTTGGTAGTCCTTATGGTCCAGTCGGATTTACTTTTGTACCATCATAAAGTTTGGTCCTCAGGCTCCATGTGGACCTTTATCATGTGTTTTCTTCCATCAGAAAGCAATAAAGGAGAAGGAGATTCCTATTGAAGGACTGGAGTTCATGGGCCATGGCAAAGAAAAGCCTGAAAGCTCTTCTTGACCTTGACAGTCACCTTGAAAATGGACTCCTCAAATCAGGAAATTGAGGACTCTGGATCGTGTCAGTTAAAGCTGTGAAGATAGCATCGATTTGATGAATTTAGGAGAGAGGAGTTTCCTGTCCTCCTCGATATTTTTCTCTCATTTGTAAAAGATGATGAAAAAAATCACTCTCTGCTTTGAAATTTCTGGCTTTGGCATCAGCAGGA